ATCAGCAGCATTATCTAGTCTTCCTGGACCACCCTCTCTGATCAGCAGAGAAAGGGAGAGATTTATCCAAGGGAGGCAAGTTAAATTAGAATTTTGGAGGAGCATTTCTCCTTCCAGTGGCAATGTAAGGATCCCGGTTGGATGAATGTGAATTTAGCCTTTGTCAATGTCCCATCAATGTGAGCCCATCACTGGACACTGGTGAAGAGACATGAGCCCAGTATCTTCTAAAGCACTGAAACTGTGAGATTTGCAGCAGTTTGTCTGTGGGCAGTCTGTGCTGTGATGGAGGGGTGCGTGGGGAGCAAGGTGCTGTGTGTGTAGCATGCTGCTGGCACACCAGTGAATAATGCTGGGGTAGATCCTGTTTCATCATCTCTTCCTACATGATGCACTTCTGTAAAAGTACCAAGTGTGCTTGGTCAGTTTGTTTAGGGCTCTGGTGATGGGCATTATTAAAAGCAAGGTGAGTTTGCTCAGGCAGTTATCCTGGTGCATTTCTTGGCTTTGAGTGCTTGGCTGTCACAGCTTCAGGGTCTTTCTCATTAAGACTTTGGTGTGTGATCAATATGAAGGCTTTTGTCTACATTTCACTTCAGGTTAATATCATCAGCATGGCACCAATCCTCAGTGGCTGGGTGTCCAATAATTTTTCTCTGTCAAGTATTTCTTTTCCCCTGGTATGTCATTAGAATATCCATGTGAATAGTTATACTTAGTTATCTGAAGTCTTTGATTTTGATAGCCCTTGTGTTTCTCTAGGAATTTAACTAGGCTTTACATTTTGAGGAATTTTTCTTCTTTTGCAACACTTTTAAATTTGTTTTAGAATGATCTTACTTATTTGAGAGTGTCTGTGTTCTGTTGGGGTTGCAGTAGGTTATACAGTCTTACTTGGAAGGAAAACAACTCGCTAACTCCGGGCTCTAGGATAGGAGAACAGGTCTGGGATAAAGTGACTGGAGGGATTGTTTGTAGCTGAAGGTGCTCAAGGGGAGAGGATTGTGAGAGAGTTTCTCTCCTCTGCTGTCACTGTCAGGTTACCATGAAAATGTCTCTTCTGTTGCAGATGGATGTACTCCGCTTATGTTGGCGTCTCTGCGTTTGGGCAGCTCCGATATCAGTGAGGATGACGAGGATGCAGAAGATTCCTCAGCAAATATAATAACAGATTTGATCTATCAAGGTGCCAACCTGCAGGCCCAAACAGACCGCACAGGGGAGATGGCACTGCACTTAGCAGCCCGTTACTCAAGAGCAGATGCTGCCAAACGTCTGCTGGATGCTGGTGCAGATGCTAATGCACGGGACAACATGGGACGGACTCCTCTGCACGCAGCTGTGGCTGCTGATGCCCAGGGTGTCTTCCAGGTACAGCAATCAAAGAACCCCTTTTAGAGTAGCTGTGCTCTGTAATCATATGAGCCTACCCGAGCTGCACTCTGTTCACTCACAGCCTTGCTTTCATGCCTTCCACAGTGTCATGGCCAGGTGAAACTGTATTTTACATCCAGTTTCTTCAGGTATTCATAGCTTGAAGAACTCAGCATGCGTGAATTGTCTGGCATGTACTTATTTGGTGTGTTTGCCTGTCACTTACCATCAGGGTCCTAGCATTTCAGTGCTGAGACTGCTTTTTCATTATGAAGTTTCTCTTGAGTTTCTGCCAAGTCCTCAGGTTTGGTCTGCAGTGGTATTGAAAAAAAAAACAAAAAACAAATAAAAATCTGTCTTCACCTGTTGTCCAGATCCTGATTCGTAACAGAGTGACCGACTTGGATGCTCGGATGAATGATGGAACGACCCCCTTAATTCTGGCTGCTCGTCTGGCTGTGGAAGGAATGGTGGCTGAGCTAATTAATTGCCAAGCAGACGTGAACGCCGTAGATGACCATGGTAATGTGAACATGGTGTACTGGGCTGGGCAAATATTTGTCATGGTGCAAGCAAGGAGGAGTGGGTTTCTGCTCTCCTGGAATGTGGGCTGCTCATAAATTCTGTGGCTGAATCAGATATTAGGCTTGCCTGCAGAAGTCCCTCCCAGCAGTAACACACTGCAGGCTGCTGCACTGGGGCTTGATTAGAGTCCTGGAAAAGAAGCAGCAGAAATATGGGGTTGTACATGCAGGAATTGTCTGAACTGCAGACATGACTCTATGGGTAGGTTATTTAAAAAATAAAAACTAAAAAATCCCAGACCAAGTGCTGAAAGTTCCATTGTGTTTCGGTAACACAGGGGTATGTGACAGTACAGTGATTTCCAAAGTGAAAACATGACTTTAGGACATGTTCAACTGCAGTTGCTTTCTTCCCTCAGAGTACTCTGTCCATCGTGGTGCTTTAGCAAATAGCTCCTTGATTTGTTACTGAAGTTGTTGTGTTTCCCTGCAGGCAAATCTGCTCTTCACTGGGCTGCTGCTGTCAACAACGTGGAGGCAACATTAGTGCTGCTGAAAAATGGAGCCAACAGAGACATGCAGGATAACAAGGTACAGTTTGGCTGTGCTCCACATGGCTGTGCTTCCTGACTCAAAGCAGCTCCTTGCTGTTGGTAATGAGCAAAGTTGAGATTTTGTGAACTGGGTGCTCAGTGCAGATCTTCTAAACCTAGACCATGACTGCAGCTCTCCCCAGGTGCTGGATATCCTGAAAGATTTCTTATATGGAAGAGCAGTTCTCTTTCTTGTTCAGCCAACTTGTGGGCATCAGTGCTGTCCTGCTTCTCCTGCAGAAAAGGAATACAATACACAATCAATGCTGTGTGAGGGCACCAGGGTGAAGTGCTGCTGGTGTCAAGCAGCTGGATTCTGGTTAGCAGAGAGCCACATCTGGCAGCACAGCAGCAGTCACATCTTGTCACATTTCCAGGGATCTCAATGAAGGGTGGATATGGGGGCAAAGACCTCCTGTAGCTTCACTGTTAGGTCCTGATGTCTTAGTCCTTGATTTCTTTCTACTGCCTAGGGTTTCTTTTTTGAATTAGTATATACTGCTCACTGGATTTTAAAGCTACTAAGAGGCTGCAGTTCTTTATGGGGTGTTTTAGTCCTTTGTACTTTTCCATCACAGGACACAATGGGAGAAAGGCACTGGGTGCTTTTGCAATTCCTACTAGGACCCATGGCATAATAGTGGTTTGGCCTGTGAGCTGCACTGTTGTGTATGAAATCATCTCCTGTAATCAGCATTTTCTCATGGGCACCTCTTAGGGTGGGTTATTCCTGGGGACAATGAGTGTGGCACTGTATTAAACAGTACTTCCAGGTGTTGCTGCACCATTAGAGCAGTATCAGCTGTAGGTCAGTCCCCCCCACACACACAGTGAAGCCACTAAA